CTGCGGCTTTTTATTTCCGAGCCGCGGCGGCCGCGGCCAATGACACCACTTCGAATCTCCCGCGATTAGTTTCCACCAATCGCGGGGGATTCGCAACGGGCCAATCAGTGCGGCTCGCTCGACCAATCCGGTCGCCGCGCGCTTTAACCAATCGCGACGCGGGGCTACGAGTATGTAAATTGACTTGTACAGAACAATACTAAACTGGCAGAATAGCCAACACCCTAGATAATACCGTAGGCTCAAGATCCAGATGGATTTCAACAGACTTTGAACACTAACAAAATGAAATACAATGTAGAGAAAAGTAAAGTCTTACACTTAGGCAAGAAAAACCAAAAGGACACGTACAGATTAGGTGAAACCTGGCTTAATAGCAGTAACCGTGAGAGGGATCTTGGAGTCCTAGTGGACAATCAATTAAATATGAGGCAGCAGTGTGTGACAGCAGCCCAAAAAGCCTGTGCAATCTTAAATTGCATTGACAGAGGGATTGAATCAAGATCACGTTGAGGTACTAATACCATTCAATAAAGCCTTAGTAAGACCACACCTAGAATACTGCATTCAGTTTTCATCACCACACTATAAAAAAGATGTTGAGACTCTAGAACAGGGGTGTCAAACTCCCAGCCCGGAGGCCGGTGTGTCACACGCTGGCCATGCCCATATCCAGTTTAGCAAAGAGGTTAAAGGTCATGATACATCACGTGATGCCACTGTGACGCCACACGTTTGACACCCCTGCTCTAGAAAGAATGCATAGAAGTGCCGCAATGATGATTAGGGGCCTAGAGGCTAAAACACATGAAGAACAGTTGCAAGAACTGGGCATGACTAGTCTAGTGAAGAGAAGGACTGGGATGACACGATAGCAGTGTTCCAATATTTGAGGGGCTGTCACAGAAAGAAGGAGGACAATCTATTTTCTAAAGGTACCTCAAGGCCAGACAAAGAACAATGGATGGAAATGGATTAAGGAGAGATATTCAACCTAGAAATAAGGAGAAATTTTCAGACAGTGAGAACAATCAACCAATGGAACAACTTGGCTTCAGCAGTTTTGGCCGCTTGGAGGTTTTAAAGAAGAGATTGGACAGCCACTTGTCAAAAGTGGGTATAGGGTCTCCTGCTTGAGCAGGGGATTGAACTATTTGTTTTTATTTATTTATTTTTGTCAATTGCTTACAAGATAGTAGGTATAAGTAAAAACATAGTTATAAATACATGGATACATATAAGAAAAATGAAAAATAAAAGAAATACAACAGGGATGGTAGGCACATTGGTGCGCTTATGCATGCCCCATACAGACTTCTTAGGAAAGGGGTGAGGTCAATAGTAGACAGTCTAAGGTGAAAGTTTTTGGGGTTTGGGGAAAAAACCACAGAGTCAGATAGACTATTCCAGACATTCCAGTCGTATTTCCTGCAATCAAATTTGGTGTGATCAACCTTGAGTTTGTATCTATTGTGTTCTTGTGTTGTTATGGTTGAAGCTGAAGTATTCATTGACAGGTAGACAACATAGACAACTAGTTGACCTACAGGTCGCGTTCAAGTCGAACTCTGTTATTTTGTAAAGTCTGTTTTTAAAAAAAATACGAGGGCAACAAGGATACAGTAAATCCCTCGTTATCTTCGGAACTAGGAGAACCATTGAAAGAATGAGAAGCCCTTCTTTTAGCAAACTTCCCTATCAATGGAGGACTACATCCCCCAGAATACCACGCACCCATACTCCACGAGATTATTGTCAGTCGGACGCCCTGGCGTAATACAACGACGCTGCGGAAGTCACAACCGGAACTTCATGTAGCTTCGCCCCGGAAGTAGTCTCCCTGACTCCATCTAATGAGCCGGTGCGGGAAAAGAAGCGTGTCCTTTCGCCGCGTGCGAAGGGCTCGTGGCTATGGCTACCCTCTTGGTCGAGGACTTGCTGGCGCGCGCCGAAGAGCGCGAGGCGGAGACCCAGCGCTGCGTGGCGGTGCAGAAGGAGCTGGAGTTGGAGTTCGACTTGGGGAACTTACTAGCGGTGGATAAAAACCCGGCTCCACGCGCCCTTGCGCGAGTCTCCTCGGAGCGCGAGTCTCTCCTGCGCGCTTTGGCTCGAGATAACAGTCAGTTGCTGGTGGGCCAGCTGTGGGCGCTGCCGTCCGAGCGGGTGGAAGGGGGCGCGGGCCCCGTAGTGGCCCGCCTGCCCGAACCCTCGACGCGCTTGCCCAGGGAAAAGCCGCTGCCCAAACCTCGGCCGCTCACCAAATGGGAGCAGTTCGCGCGCCTCAAAGGCATCCGGCCGACGCGGAAGAAGCGCGGCACCTTGGTCTGGGACGAAGCCGCCAAAGAGTGGCGACGGCGCTGGGGTTACCGCCGAGCTGGCGGAGATCCTTCCCGCGACTGGCTCTTGGAAGTGCCGGACTCGGCCGACCCGATGGAGGATCAGTTCGCAAAGCGGCGCCAGGAGAAGCGGGAGCGGGTGGCGCGCAACGAGCTCAACCGCCTGCGGAACCTGGGGCGCGCTCACCGGGGCCGGGGGGCGGCCGACCTGCACCCGACGGGCCACCAAGACCGGGCCGAGATGGGCCGCGCCTCCGTCCTGGCTCGCGTCTCTACCGCCTCCCGCGGCCGCTTCCAACCTCGCCTTCCCAAGGAGCCCGCCGTCGCGCAGACCAACACAGCCCGCGGAAAGAAGCGTCGTTTCCAGCCGCTGCTGGGAGACCTTGAAGGGGAGAAGAAGCGGCACCTGGAGTTAGCCCGCAGCCTGAGCAGCAAGAAGCCGCCTCTGGACTTGACCCGCGCGGTCAACAAGCAGCTCCGCGAAGAGGAGGCCGAGGCTGCCAGAGGCAAAGGCAAAAGGCGCGAGCAGCGGGGCAAGAGGGGTCGAAGGCAGCAGCAGAGGTCCGGACACGCCAGGGGCAAGAAAAGCGCAGGAGCAGGTCGCAGAGGAAATCCGGGGGCATCTGGAAGCTTCAACAGGAAAAGAAAATAGCAGACTGAAGCGGTTTATTTTATGTAAGGCTGCAGCAAAATGTGGACTTGCTAAGTTAAACATTATTCTAACTTTACTTTGGCTTTTAGCCCCCAAAGAACTTTGTGAGACCTGACTAAAGAGCGTATAAAGACATTGGCAATAAATTAAAATGATATATAAAGTTTGAAAGAATCTACTCACTTGAAGAAATATCACATTAGACGTACAGTTCAGACAATGCCTTGACTGGGAATTGGAATGACTTCAAAGAATAAAACTTCAAAGCAGTTGAAATATATAGGACTTGCTTTGTTTATAATGAAGTCCTAATATGCCCTTTTAAATGAGAATTGAAATGGACACTTCTCAGCTGCAGTGTTTTTTCTGTACTTCTTTTTCATGTATCTGAATTATCTCCATTGTCAACCAGGCTAAAGGCAAATCACTAGAAGAATATTGTGTTTACATCGTGGTAACTGACTTTTATATCTGTTGAGATTATAACTGCATATAAAATGTCAAATTGTCTCATCGAAATACCATTTTCATCATTTTGACACTATGAATTCTGATTTCAGCAACACTGTAGATTTTGTCTGGGGAGATGTATGTGGATATATGTACGTGCCCACTGTTCTTACAGCAAGATTAAAGACATTGAATTAAACCTGTGTTTTTTTCCTGTAAGTTGTTTTTCTGCTTCCCAACAACCTCAACTTTATTTAAAAAATGTATATGCTTTATATGTTAAAAATCCCAAAGTAATTTATAGGAATATAAAATCTATTAAAAACAAATGTTAGATGAAGTCAATGGTTGGGAAAGGTCAGCATAAAAAAGTTTATATGTTTTTAAAAGATGCACTAAATTATTTACTATAAGGCCTAGTGTATAACAGAAAGCAAGCACAACACAGAAGACTTGCCTCACTATAATGTAAAATTAGATTAGACTTGGTTTTATTTTAAAAACAATTTGTGTGTGTGTGCGCGTGCGTGCACCGTCTGTGGTAAAAAAATTCTATTAAGTGCTCTACCCCAACTCACCAATCTTTCTGGCTTTGCAGACCAGCAGAGTGGGGTAGAGAACAGTTCCGTGTGAGCTGCAGGCAAATGTGCACACCCACTGCTCCATTTGTGCAAGCGGCCGGCAAACCGCTCATGCAAGTTGAGTGCACGTGCGCATGCTTGTCCGTTGCTCATGCAAGTGGGGATTTTTATACTTTGAAATAGAAAATTCTTTGAGCTTTAAAAATTCCATCTTGCAAATTAATCTTGAGGCTTGGTGACCAGAGCCTAAAAGGATTCTTTTTTAAAAAAAATCTACAAAGTGATCAATACTAGTTGTATCTGGATTTATGTTTCTCATTAAAGATGAATCTACAATTGGCCGTATATTTAAGTAATAGAATTTAAACAAACAGGACATAGATTGTCTCCGTGAACATAAAAATATGCTATTTTATATGATATTTCCTTGGAGGGTGGAACCTTTTTTATTAATTACAACACTACCTTGTTATATGAAAAAGTGTTCTACGGAATTAAGAACGGTGTATGCTATTTTTTTTTATTCCATTTTTTATATGTGTTATTGTCAATGTGTGAAATTAGGCATTTTATAGAATGTCTAAGAAATCTGTAGAATGCTAAAAATAGGACATCAAAATATGAAGCACAACATTTCATACATTGCCAAAAGACAAAACAGCGAAGTATAAAATACTCCTGCTAAAATGCCATTCTAGCCTTCCTTGTTGCATGCAACAAATTTTGGTCTTTTTTTCAGTAAGAATACTTCATTTTGTATTTTTTCATTTTCTTACATGTCTTTTCAATAAAGGCTTAGGGTTAGCGTAGATAAAGTATATAGCAGTGGTTGGGGGGGTGTCATCATAGGGGGTCCACGAAGGCCTGAAGAAATGCCATGATTTAAACTTTTAAGTCTTGGGGGGTCTGTTGCCATGCTCCATGGGCACAAAAGGTATTTAAAAAGGATCTGTGGTGAAGAAAAGGTTGAGAACAAATGGTATTTAGCATATTAAAATAACAGACATTTCATACTTTGCCTAAAACGTCACACATTCTATAGATTTCCTAAGGATACAATGCCAGCTTTTCATACATTGTAGGTAACATATATAACTCAAGGCAGCAAACATACCTGCAAAAGTACAGGTACCAATATATTTTCTCATTTCTGGACATATAAGGAAATTTTTAATGGACCTTCGTGTCCATTATTTATTTGATTTATATTCCACCTTTATACCCAAATAGTATATGCCATTCAAACACAATAACATGAACACAAAATGCTTAGTATTACTGTAGAGATGCTAAAAACACTGCACATTCCAAATAAGGAGCTACACAACTGGCAATCCAATTTTCTGGCCCTTTAATATCCCCATATCCTTTCTACCGGTAGACCTTCTTTACATGAGCTAAGAAACTAAGTCTGTAACTCCAAAGAACACAAGATTTTGTTAACAGCATTCATACCCATGGTTTATGCAAGCCAATTTTGCTGGGGTCACACAGCATAATGAACCATAAACTAAGCCAGCAGAGTTTATGAATACAGTTTGTATATGGCTGGCTAATTTGTGATTCAATATGTGTGGTGCTACTTTAATGCAGTCAGCGTCGGACCCCGCACCTGTGGCAAAATGCTAGGATAAAAAAGGTAAGATATCCACCAACTAGGTCTAATAGGTCTAATAGTCTGAAAAAAGATGAACGCATGGCTGTACTCTTCTTCCCCGCTTTGATGCCAAACCCATTCCGGTTGTCAGCGAGCTGCTGCAGCGGATTGCCCAGCATAGGAATAGAATAGCCATTTCTTCCTTTCTCTTTTAAAGCGCTTTACTCAATTTGTCCTCAACTTCGCTTTCCCGTCGTCCCTTGCTATCCCAAGCAGAGCGGCAGAAGTCATGGCAGGAGGAGGACGCGAGAAGGTGGCTCGTTTGCTGAAGCAGCTGCAGCTGGCAGCGTGAGTGTTTGTGCCTTAAGTTTCTTGCTTCCTATGGGAGCGCCTGGCAAAAAGCAGCTTGGCTCACTTTCCACGACATTTGAATCAGGCTTGGAAGCTTCGTTTGGGAGCATCTGGCAAAAGCAGCTTGGTTTACTTGGTTTGCTTTCCACGAAATTGGAATCGGGCTTGGAAACTTCGTTTCTTTACGGCATTAGGAAAAATAAAACCGCAGCAAACCTTCCGTGTAAGGAAAGATTTGAGAATTCTACAAGTCCTAAAGCCAAGTTTGGGGATAATTATCTTTGAAGCCGATACTTTAATTTACTTATTTCCATCTAGTTTCTTGCTAAGAGAGAGACAAGCAGAATGCTAGTCTTTGTTTCAAAAAGTTATTTGATCAAGCACAGAAATGGACTTTGGTTTATATGTAACATTTATTTTCGAAGTAAATACAAAAAAATAAAGAAAATAAAAGAAACGGAGTTTAGTGCATAGTGAAACTGAGCAGCAACACTTCTATGTAATTTGAATGTGTAGCTACCCTCTGCAATATTGCAGAATTGCAATATTGGGGGGGATGAAATATTGAAATATAAAATATAGTAATTAAAATGTCATACGTTTTTTCACTGAAGAAAAATGAAACCAATTAGTAATTGTGTAGAATAAAGATATATTTCCCTATGTAGTTTGCCCTTTTTACAAATATAAATAAAACAACTCACGTAAACATATCTTTCAGAGGAGAGCAATACATTTTTAACAAGAATTGAATGATATTACTTCAAAAATGTGCAGGTATAAATGGATTAGAGGCAGTAGGTGGAAAGTGTTGACATGGGAGACATCCATATTTATTGAATCCTATTAAAATAATGGACCATGAATTAATGTTTATTGTATAAAATGTTCAAATTGCCTAAGTTTTAAAGAATTTTAAGTAGTGTGCAGGAGCTGGAGCAACAAGTCTATGCAAAATAATAAACAGGTAAGAATTCAGTAATTGAATAAGTAGTTTTAAATTATATGCTACTTGTAAATACACTACTTGTAAATAAATTCCATAGGAGCCAATGAAACTGTTCTATAAACATGGTTCAATGGGCTAGGCAAAGTGAACATGAAACATACCCTTAGCCTTAGAAAGATACTTTAAAGTCTTAATAATTTGTTGCTCCTATAACTACTTTATAAAATAAAAGATAAAATATAGCAAAGATAAACAGCCATTAATAGATGTAATAAATAACGAGTTGAAATCTTACATTGCAAATGAGTGTAAATTGCCTCATTTTAAGCCCTGTTTAAATTTAATTCAGATTAGATTGTGACAATCATTGCCATTTCAATAAAATGTAATTGCCACTAGATGGCAGAATATGCTTGTAAATTAAAATTATAAATTGTTTCTATATAGAAAGTTGATATTTCCTCTCAATACTTCGTTACAGTAATCATTTTCTTTTTTTCTTTTCAATAGATGCATGTGTCCAGTTCATTCTCACACTTACAGTCAAGGTGAACTGTTATTTTGTGTGTGTATGTCAGTACATTAATTATTCCCTGTTCCAAGTTCTACAAATATTTAATGACTATTACAAAGAGTAATTATTTTACCAAGTAAACCAGGTCAATATATTTTTCAAGAATTAAAATCTAAGGATTGATTGACAGCATACTGTTAGCAAATCGTCATGCTGTATCTGGTGCTGCATCAGAACCTTATGTCCAGGAAGGCCTAGCGTTATTGGGAGAGAATGCTTTTCATTCCCCAAGGTCAATTATCTAATAGGTAGTAGATCTTAGATGAATTGCACAGTATCTAAGAGTTTGGAGGAAGTGCAGGTTGGAATCTACTCAAAGTAGGTTGTACATACTTTGAGTCTAAACTGTAGAAACAAACCCTCCTTGGTAACCCCTGATTGGATAACCATACGATGAAATACATGTAAGATGTACTAACTCTGTTTCCTCAAATGCTTTTATTTTTTAATTATACTGTATATAAAATACTATGTTTTATATATAATAATGTTACACATAATAATAATAATATAATACTTGTAATAATATACAAGTAGCCCTCGATAACCCATAATTGGGACCAGCAACTTCATCATTAAGTGATGTGGTGGTTAAGTGAAAGATCATGTGATTGTGCTGAACTTACAACAGATTGTACTGAACTTACAACATGGCACTATGACTTGTGGTCTTGCTGCCAGATTCTCCACTGACTTTGCTTGTTGGAAGTCAGCTGTGAAGCTTGCAAATACTGATCACCTGATCCGGGGACACTGTGATGGTCATAAATGTGTGACAGTTGTGAAGACAGTTGTGCATGGCAATCGTGTAACAGTGGGAATACTGCAATGGTCACAAGTTCAAGCACCAATCATAAGGTTACTTTTTCAGCAGCATTATAATTTCAAACAGTTACTAAGTAGGACAGTCATGAACCGAGGAGTACCTGTATTTTTCACTATCAGCTTAGATGAACTATCAGAAGAAATTGCTGAATAGGATAGGAAATTAAAGCAAAAAGAATCAGAGTTGTAGAACAAAAAAAAAATCCCAGTTGATCCATTGCAAAGTTCTACATTCTAAAGTTTGGTTAGAGTTTGGTTAATTCTGTAAGCTATCTAGAACATTTTGTGCCAGGGTTCCAAGTAATACACCCATAGCAAACATAACTCCGAGTTAGGTAGATTCCTCAAAGAATGGTTTTATTTGGATATTGGCACAGGCTGGTGAAAACTGACTCTAAATGTTCCTATGGTTTTCATCTAATTAAAAGTAAAAGTCTCCTCCCTCCCAACCATCAGTCACATGCTCCAATCAAGTTGTCATCTAGTTGCCTAGTAACTTCACTCCTCCCCTCTCTGTGGGAATGTCCTTGGTTCCCAGGAGAAAGTGTTTTGTTTTCACTACAAACCCCAACTATCTCTATTCCCCCCTCCCTATCCCCCAGCTCCAGTGTGGCAACACTGAAGCCTCAAATTGGCCTTGCTCTGGTCAGCTTCAGGGTTGACATTTTGCTTCTTGGGCAAAGTGGAAGACAGCAGATTTAATTTTATACTTTGATTGCTGAATTGCTAATTCATAAATTCTATGATTCTAGGAAAATAAACTCTGGACATCCCATCCCTCTGGAGAAAAAATATAGAATCACTTATTACATCTGGGGGGGGGGGGCAACAATTTGACTGTGTTCTTTCCATGTTCATCTCTGAAATCTGTGAATAGCCAAGGAGCACTCAATCCTATGGCAGTGGTGCATCTAATAAAACGTGGGATCAATCAGTGTATGAATTAGATCATTCAGATCCACATATAAGCTGCATAGAGGAAGAGCATCACATATATATTACAATAACTCTTGTTTGATTCATGTATTGTTGAATTTAATAATTTGTTTATTTGCAAAAAAAATTATACAGCCTCCACTTAAAAATAAAACCTCAAAGTAGATTACAATTAAAACAGTTCAAGCAATAGGAGTAAATGAAGCTGGTCATTTACAGAGCAAAACTTGCTGGTTATTTATTTTAATTTTAATTTTATTTTTTTATCCTGCCTTTATTATTATTATTATTATTATTTATAAATAACTCAAGGTGGTGAATATGCCTCATATACTTTTTTCCTCCTATTTTCCACACAACAACAATCCTGTGAGGTGTGTTGGGCTGAGAGAGTGACGGGTTTGTTATTGTGCTTTTATTTTTCCTGCCACTTTGCATAATTTAATGAAATTCTGTATAAATTCTGTATAAATTTCAAACCATAAATATTAAACCACAGCGATGAGATGGTAAAAGAGTAGCTTTATTGTAAGCCCTCATTCTATGTTTCAAAAATACACATGTTCCAAAGAGAACAATGCATATAGTTTTCCAAAACCAATAAAGTCTTTAACAAAAGCTTCGCTCTACCAGATAATATAACAGCAGGATTTCTATTGTACCAGCCAAAGAAAATAGTGGAAGTGGCTTGGACATGTTGTTGGGATGTCAAATTAATCACAGAAATTATTGCAGATTCAGACATTAGAGAAAGTTGACCGTGAGCAGAATCGATGAGAGAGACCATAACAAGCAACCCAAAGACAGCAGGTTTAAGTGCAGATAGAGAAAACAGAAATGTTTCTATATTAATTGTTGTGTGCATCACTACATCCCAAGGCTGATTAGCAGGCTTATTATCGTGGCTTAGTTGCTTGGCCATAAATTCAGAAACTAAATATTGAATTCAGCTTCCAGGCAGAAATGGTTTGACTGGGCAAGGGAACCAATGTCTAATTTATTATATAGGGAGGGAGGGAGGGATCCATGTGCTGCTCTCTGGAAAAAAATGTGGCTGGATTGGCTCCAGACTTAGCTAGAAAGCAAAGCATTAACCTGGTTATTATAAAGGTGAGTACTATTTTTTTCGATAGGCCTACTCTAAATGTAGCTAATTCCAGAAATAATGCCATATTTGGAAGGGAAGTGCAAAAAGGGAAGGGAAGGGGAGAGAAAAACTAATCGCTTATGTTTGAAACATAACATATCCCAGTACAGTATTAAGCCAGACCTGCTTAATATTGACCTACTGGTATAGTTTAGAGGCAGGGGACTTGTGTATGCTGTTCTATCAGTGCCCCCCAATACACACTTAGAATGGCCAAGCAAAGCTAATACCCATGGACATTAATGTGCCTGCTTTCCTTTGTGCCTTCCAGGTTCCCTGATTTACCTGATCTTTCTAAAGCAAGTTTAAGACTTGTGGACTTCAACTCCCAGAATTCCTGAGCTCACATGACTGGAGGAGGAATTCTAGGAGTTGAAGTCCACAAGTCTAAAAGCTGTAAAGTTTGAAGACCCCTGTTCTAAAGATTCTTCTAAATTTAAATGAATTTAAATGGGAAGATAGCAGACTGCAAAGTGCCAGCCTTAGACCTAGAGGTGTTCTTAAAATTAAAAATAGTACCTTAAAAAGTTGAACCTCTGGAGTATTAGAGTATCATAAAATTAAAGGTAGTAGAGTCATCATGCCAATTTTCTTTTTTATAAACGCTTGCTTTGCGATTGGAAATGCCTTTATGATGGCTTTATATGTCTCTTCAGTTTCCATGACAGGGATGGCATTTTATAGATTTGCCTTCATCTCTATGGCAAAGTTCTTAAAAATTACAGAACCCCAAATGCAATACCCATTCCAGTAGAATTTCTGTCGTTTTCCATAAACTAAGCAGCAAGCTAACTTCATTGTTTTCATTCCAGGTACTAAAGACATTGCTTTGGGGAAAACAGACTATGCCTTTGAGGTAAAGACAGTAAACAAACTGCTACTTGTTGAAACGAACACTTCCATTAGTTACATTAAAAGTGACTTTTCTGTTTTAAACTATTTTTACTGAAATGTATTTTTCTTGACTTTTCCAGATGGCTGTTTCCAATATCCGATATGGAGAGGGAGTTACTAAAGAAGTGGGAATGGTATAGAATAGTTTATAATATTTCCAAAAAGTGGTTACTTAATTCTTTTTTAAAAAAGAGAAAGAATTTTATATGCATTATATCTATATCACATAAAACAGAATTATCACAAAATATCCTTCGTCTGCCATTGTTTTTAGCTAGGTCAGCTAAGGATTATGAGATTTGGAGTGAAAACATATGGAGAGACCCTGATTTGGAAAAGTTCCTTTGGGTTTTTGGAACATTGCAGTCAAGGAATCAGTGGTGCATTTCAAAATAGTTTACCACCAGTTCAGTGGGCGTGGCTTGATGGGCGTGCTTTGTGCATGCACACACATTTTGCATGTGCACGTGTGCCAAACACACACTTTGTGCAGGCGCAGAGGCTTTCCGACTCACCTCCTGCAATCCTGCATTCTCCCTGTCGCTTCAGCAGCTGACACGTGGCAATCTGCTGTGGCGTGCAAAGCAGCTGCACTTCAAAAGCAGGGAATAAAGGTCAGTACGGCAGCCCAGGTGGGTGGCTGGGCCCAAGAGCAGCTCCTCAGAGAGAACCGGTTTGGTCTCCACCGATCTTCAGCTCTACTGGTATGCCAGAACTGGGCTGAACCGGTAGAATACCACCACTGGACGGAATTAATTATACTCATCCAACTGGCTCCAAGGCACCCAACTGGAAAAGATAATGCAATAGATATCTTTGAGACCATGTTAATCTGTTAATGATTCTTTCCATTTCAGAAATCCACATAAAAATGAAAGTGAGGCATAATTTGGGAGCCCTACAATGGGCAGCCAACTACCAAGTTGAATATTTAGCATTTTACAATGGAAGCCATTTTCAGATTTGTCTTTTCCCTTTCTTTGATTTAACTACATTTTCATTTACTATAGGACTTGCAGAATTGGGGTGCTAAAAAAGTTTGTGTGATGACAGATAAGAATCTTTGTCAGCTTCCTCCCATGACAGCAGTGTTGGATTCTCTGACAATCAATGGCATAAACTTCCAAATCTATGATAATGTAAGAGTGGAGCCCACAGACCAAAGGTATTTATTCTTTCCTATGTTTGTGCAGCCTACATGAATAATTAGGCAGAGATGGAGAAGCTATGCACTCTAAATATTGTTATGACTCCTTGTCTGGGGGTGGGGGTAAACACATTATGATATTTTATAAATTGTAAATTGGATAAGTGCAAAATAAATTGAAATGTTTTTTTTTTTCATTTCAAGTTTCCTAGATGCCATTGAGTTTGCCAAAAAGGGGGAGTTTGACTCCTATGTTGCCGTAGGCGGGGGTTCAGTCATAGATACTTGTAAAGCTGCTGATCTCTATGCATCAAGTCCACAATCAGATTTCTTAGATTACGTCAATGCTCCTATTGGAAAAGGCAAGCCTGTTACAATTCACGTCAGACCTCTGATAGCAGGTAAGGAAAAGCTCTGTACTGGGGGAGAGGGGTAATTGTAAAACAATAGAGCTTGTGCGATAGGTTTGAGTTCTCATATCATTACTTGAATAGATTTTGTAAATTAATTGGATCGGATTCTCTGAGCTATTTGGGGAAATCACACCAAGGAAATACTCGCATAGCTAGAGAACCTTTCTAATGATTACATATAGTTTTCATTATAATAGGGTGCTGTTTTTCTTCTCACTCTTGTTTTACAGTTATTTTTTCCTAATTTGCACCATTTTCCCCAGAATGATTCTACATAATGACATTATATTGCTCCTAAAGCAGATACTGACATATAATATAGCAGCTGATAACCTTGCAGTATACAGGCTGTTTGATAATTCACAATGAATTGGTTGGTACACTGATGAGTAAATAACTTTTATTCATATAGATTACAGATTACAGATAATCAGAGTTGGAAGGGACCTTGTAGGTCATCTAGTCCAACCCCCCGCCCAAGCGGGAGACCCTATACCATTTCTGACAAATGGCAGTCCAATCTCTTTTTGAAAGTCTCAACTGATGGTGCTCCCACAACTTCTGAGGGCAAGCTGTTCCATTGGTTGATTGTTCTCACTGTCAGAAAGTTTCTCCTTGTGTTCAGGTTAAATCTCTCCTTGTTCAGTTTCCATCCATTATTCCTTGTCTGGCCTACAGGAGCTTTAGAAAATAGCTTGACCCCCTCCTCCCTGTGGCAGCTCCTCAAATATTGGAAGACCGCTATCATGTCTCCCCTGGTCCTTCTCTTTACTAGACTAGCCAAGCCCAGTTCCTGCAACCGTCCATTGTATGTTTTAGCCTCCAGTCCCCTAATCATCCTGGTACTTCTCTGTACTATTTCTAGAGTCTCAACATCTTTTTTATAATGTGGTGACCAAAACTGGATGCAGTACTCTAGGTGTGGTCTTACTAAGGCTTTGTAGAGTGGTATTAGTACTTCCCTTGATCTTGACTTTATCCCTCTGTTAATACAATTTAGGATTGCATTAGCTTTTTTGGCAGCTGCTGCACACTGCTGGCTCATATTTAGCTGGTTGTCCACTAAGACTCCAAGATCCCTCTCACAGTTACTGCTATTGAGCCTGGTTTCATCCAGTCTATATGTGTACTTTTGGTTTTTCTTGCCTAAGTGTAGGACTTTACTTTTCTCTGTATTGAATTTCATTTTATTAGATATGCCCCAGTGTTCTAGTCTGTCAAGATCCATCTGGATCTTGAGCCTATCTTCTTGGTTGTTAGCTATTCCTGCCAGCTTAGTATCATCTGCAAATTTGGTAAGTTCCCCTTCTATACCCTCATCTAAGTCGTTAATGAAGATATTGAAGAGTAGTGGGCAGACAGAACCTTGTGGCACCCCACTGCTTACTTCCCTCCATGTAGATTTAGACCCATTAAGGACTACTTGTTGAGTACGGTTTGCCAGCCAGTTGCAAGTCCATCTAGTGGTGGTGCTATCTATTCCACGTTTTTCTAGCTTACTAAGAAGTAGGTTGTGGTCTACTTTATCAAATGCCTTGCTGAAATCTAAATATATTATGTCCACAGTATTTTGCTGGTCTACTAATTTAGTCACTGTGTTGAAGAATAAAATAAGATTGGTTTGACATGATCTGTTCTTAACAAACCCATGCTGACTGCTAGTTATTACTTTACTTGTTTCTAGATGTTGGCAGATCTGTTTTTTTATTATCTTTTCCAGTATCTTCCTGGGTATTGATGTTAGGCTGATTGGTGTATAGTTTCCTGGATCTGTTTTTCCCCCCCTTTTTTGAAGATGGGAACCACATCAGCTCTTTTCCAGTCCTCTGGTAGTTCCCCGGTGCTCCAGGATTTTTCAAAGAAATGATGCAGTGGTTCTGAGATGACCTCTGCCAGCTCCTTTAAAACTCTGGGATGTAATCCATCGGGCCCCGGTGATTTGTTTAATATGTGCTATTGAATTCCAGATGTAGTTGCTTCAGCTTGTGGAATAATATTGTAATATAATAAGTCATCAGTTCCTGAGGGCAGCATATTATCCCACCTCTGCTGTATGTTATTGTGTGTGTAATGATGTGTAACTAAATGTACTATTAAATTTAATTTGCTCTTTTCCAAAGTTCCTACAACAGCTGGAACTGGAAGTGAAACCACTGGAGTTGCTATTTTTGATTACAAAGAATTAAAAGTAAAAACTGGTAAGGGTTTTGTATGTATGCATTTATTTTTATTTTATAATACCTCTTGGCTTTCTTAAAAATTTCTTTTCTGAAATTTTATTTAAATCTCAGTAATATTCTTAATTATTTGAAAGGTTCAAATACTTTGCAGACTCTAAATCATTTTAACTATTATTGCAAAGTCTATTTAGAAAGTTCTCGTTTCTGGGTATACCTATATATTTTTCTATATTTAGGCATTGCATCTAGATCCATTAAGCCTTCTTTGGGTATTATTGATCCATTACACACTCTCCATATGCCAGAGCGGGTGGCAGCTAATAGTGGTTTTGATGTGCTTTGGTAAGTGTATTTCATACAACTTTTTAGCTATACATTATTAGATAATTTTACAATTTGAGACCATACTGTGTTGATATTGTATGTGGGAATGACCTTGGGAGATATGAGGAAGATGTGTAACCTGGGCAATGGTCCGATAAGAGGCAGTTCAGTCCACAGGTAGGGGAAAAGCATAGGAAACATTTCAGAAGAAAAGAAAAGCAGAAACAGGTTGGCTGTTCCTTGGGTATAGTTTGTACGTCCAACAGGTTGTGGTGTTGAGGCTCTCAGATGGAATCATGAGGTCTGTTGCTTTTGCAAGGTAGTCATATTTAGTTGGGAATGAGGTCTAGTTTTTGCCTCATTAACTACAGTTCCAGCTGTATTTCCCTGTTTTTCCATGCATTCAGCCAGAAGTCTGTCTGAGGACAAAAAGGTGGAATACGTAGCCCATTTGATCCAATCAAGACAAGCTCTACTTATCTTTTATTGAATCATACTGCAAAGTACTTCAAATTATTTTGTTTAAATTGACCTTAATGAGCTACAAGAGAATATTTTGGTTCTGAAGAGGCATAAAAGAAACATTTGGAAAACATTCATCCTCTATGTAGTTTATTATTATTAAACCCTCTATGTAGTTTATTGGTAGCACAGTATGATGCACATTTTCTGTGGTAAACAGTTGGGAAATAGTTGCACTAAGTATGAAGATACATTACTACCATTTTAAAAATGGTTTGCAAATACTGTAGGAGACAACCCATAAAGTCAAATTCTTGTGTATTTCTCCCCACTTCCTCATTCAATCTGATAGCCATGCTCTTGAATCCTACACTGCTCTTCCCTACAACCAGCGCAGCCCTTGTCCTTCAAACCCAGTGAACCGGCCAGCTTATCAAGGAAGCAACCCCATCAGTGATGTCTGGGCTGTCCATGCATTACGGATTGTTTCTAAATATTTAAAAAGGTACAAGTCTTCAATGACCTTTTATCCTTGTATTATTTTTCCCCTTTCAGTATCCAAATGAATACTTAAACTTTAAAATATACAATCTGTGTTGTGTGTGTTATGTGTTGTGTCCTATAGTATTCTTCACCAGTAGTAAATAATGGCAGAGAATGAATAATAATCAGGGTACTTCCTGAAATAAGTTTATAAAGAACAAATAAAACAGTTCGCAATAATACAGTGCTATCTGGCTATGTTAGATTACAAATCCCATTGTTCCCAGCCAAATATTTGAGGAATTATGCAGGACCTCAAATTACTGAAAGACTGAAGAAAAGTTAAAAGCATTCTTATTAACTTTTCTTCCTTCTTTTTCTTTCTTTTTTCTTTCTTTTCAATCTTTTCTTTTCTTTCTTTTCTTCCTTCTTTTTTTCTCTCGTTTATTTGTGTATGTATCATTGGTTGTTTTTAATTGTAAAAACTAATAAACTGTTTTAAGAAAAAAAAATTACTGAAGGACTGGCAGTTACAAAGTCTACCTAAGCAAATCTGACACATCACAAAATTTGGATACTCACAGTTTATTTATTTTTTATTTTTTATTTATTTTATTTATTTTGATTTGTCAATCGCTTACAAGATAATAGGTATAAGTATATACATAGTTATGAATACATGAAATGGGTACATATAAGAAAAATAAAAGAAACAATAGGACAGGGACGGTAGGCACATTGGTGCGCTTATGCATGCCCCCTACAGACCTCTTAGGAAAGGGGTGAGGTCAATAGTAGACAGTCTAAGGTTAAAGTTTTTGGGGTTTGGGGAAGAAACCACAGTCAGGTAGAGTATTCCAGACATTGACCACTCTGTTGCTGAAGTCGTATTTCCTGCAATCAAGTTTGGTGCGGTTAACCTTGAGTTTGTATCTATTGTGTGCTCTTGTGTTGTTATGGTTGAAGCTGAAGTATTCATTGACAGGTAAGTCATTGCAATGTATGATTTTATATCCCATATTTAGATCAGACCGAAGACGGCGTAATTCAAGATTTTCTAGGTCTAGAATTTCAAGTCTGGTGGCATAAGGTATTCTACAACGAGTAGAAGAGTGGAGAACTCTTGTGAAATATTTCTGGACTTTCTCAACTGTGCTAATATCAGATACATAATGTGGGTTCCAGACTGATGAGCTGTATTCAAGTATTGGTCTAGCAAATGTTTTGTATGCTCCAGTTAGTAGTGTGATATTACCAGAGAAAAAGCTACGTAGGATTAGGTTAACAACTCTTAATGCCTTTTTGGCTATGTAGTTAAAGTGGGCTCTAGCACTTAGATCATTAGAGATGAGTATTCCAAGATCCTTTACAGAGTTTGGATCATCAACAAGATCTTGACTATTCAGCTTGTATTTTTTTTCTGATATTTTTTTTTTTGCCAATATGTAAGACAGAGCATTTATTTGTTGAGATTTGAAGTTGCCATTTGTTTGATCATTCTGATACATAGTCAAGATCTTTTTGAAGGGTAGCAGTATTGTCTGTGGTATTGAATAGCTTTACATCATCAGTGAAGAGAACGCAGTTGCTCTTAATATGATCACAGAGGTCATTTATGTAGAATATGAAGAGAGTTGGTGCTAGAACACTGCCTTGGGGGACACCACTATTGACAGGTACAGAATTTGATAGGACACTCCCAATTTTGACCATTTGTTGTCTGACAGGAATGCTTCTATCCAGTTATGCAGGTGTCCAGAGATACCATGAGATTTTAGTTTTAGGAGTAGTTTGTCATGTACCACTGAATCAAAGGCTTTGCAGAAGTCTATGTAGATTGCGTCTATTGTTTTGCCCTGATCGAGTTGTGTAGTCCATATGTTTTTGCAGTGTAAGAGTTGCAGATTACAGGATAGTTTTTTTCTGAAACCAAATTGTTTATTGGAGAGTAGGTTGTTTGTCTCTAAGTGGAGGATAATGGATTGGTTAATAATTGATTCCATGACTTTATAGGTGACGCAGCATAAAGAGATTGGTCTGTAATTTTCAACTAGGCTGGGGTCTCCCTTTTTGAAGATGGGGATGACCGTGGCTTGTGACCATAGGTTAGGCAAGGAGCTGGTCCTGAAAGATTTTTCAAAGATTATGCTTAGAGGTTCTGCTGTGGCAGTGGATAGCTTTTTTAAGAAGTAGGCACATATTCCGTCTGGTCCAATAGATAGAGATGGTTTTAGGTTGCGTAGTGCTTTTTCAATATTGTCTTCTGTAAAATCAATATGTATTAGTTCATTGTAGTTTTCTGTGGTTCGGTTAGGAAATACTGGGCATGATGCATTGCTGTTTACAAATACTGAGCCAAAGAATGTGTTAAAGATGTTGGCTTTAATGGTGTCATCGTTGCAGTCTTTACCATTAGGTCCTATCAGGGGTGGGATGGACCTTGAGTCTTTTAGTTTGTTGTTTACAAAATTGTAAAAAGGGCAGGTGGAATTTGTGTGTAGAAGGTTTTCCTCTTGTTTAATGTGATAATTGGTGCATTCAGTCTTTATCTGGTGGCATAAATTTTTGTATCGGCTTTTGAAGTTGGCAACATGACCAGGTTTGTTTTTCCGCCAGAGTGATCTCTTTTTGGATTGAAGTTTCCTTATTGTTATGGGTAATCTGTTTTGGGTTTTTTTGGAAGTTGTTATTGGTACATATAGTTTGATGACTCTTTTGACTTCAAATAAAAATATGTTGTAATGGTCTTCAACAGTATTGCATTCAGTGAATAGAGATTGCCAATCAAGGGATGAGAGATTGTTGTCTATAAGATCATAGTTGACTTTTTTGAAGTTATAACTGGGGATTACGTCATTGTGATGATTTTTGTGTGGGCGTATGTTGAGACAAAAGTCAATCATATTGTGGTCACTGTTGGAAAAGGGTTCTTTAGTTTGTATTCCATAAATTAAATTCAAACTATTGCAAAAGATGAGATCAAGGCAGTTGTTAAGTCTAGTATTGTTGGTTACTAGTTGTTCCAGTCCCAGATTTGTAAGAGCATTGTAGAAGGTTGCATGTATGAGTTCAGTTGTACATTTGTTTAGGGTCCAGTTAATATGAGGTAGATTGAAGTCACCAAGAAAGATAAAAGTGTGTGGGCAGGATGCTGCCCATGTTAGTAGTGTATTTAGCTTGTTTACATGTACAATGTCATAATCAGGTGCTCTGTAACATAGTAAGAATCGAAATGTGATATTTAAGGATAGTTCACAGATGATAGTCTCAGGAAGAGCAAGCTCCTGAGTAACTTGGATGTTTTTTAGATGTAAGGACTTTTTATAGAAGATAGCAACACCACCTCCTCTACGAATTTCATGATCTGATCGGTAAACATGATAGTCTCTTACTGTGGTAATGGAGTCAGGGAGAGATGTGTTGAGTCATTTCATGATGTCGAATTTAGCCATATTTAGTAAGAGGAGAAATTCAGGTATTTTATTCAAAAGGCTTCTTGCATTGAGTAGCTTGCATTTAAGGCCAACTGTAGTTGGAATTGAGGTAGCTAGGGGCGTGCGTGCCTAGTCTTGGATGGTGGATTGGTTGAAGTACGGTTGTGGTTGAAGGTTGAAGTCCTCCTTACTAAGCAAGAACACAAAATCTTTATGATGCTAACTCAAAACAAATGTAATCCATCACACTCTTGATCAAGATAGTTTGAGTTTCTTCTCCAACATGTACGTTTTGAATATTGATATTGTTATATCCTTTCTTCAGGGAACAGGAAATGTAAATGTTCTTTCTTTCTACTCCTCAAGGATTCCTCAAAAAATTCTATCAATATTTGTAGATAGGTGAAGAAGCACCTTCAGTTCACTGTATATAAAATAGGTAGGGTCTTTCTTTTATCCATTTTCTGATAAATGAGAACCCATCTGTAGATTAAATAAGTTGTCTGGATAGTCTGCTGCTGTCCATTCCTACTTGTAGTGCATTTCCCTTCATAAGCTGTGATACCTAACAGTGCTACAACAGTCACTTATCCTCATTCCTACATAGCATAGCTAGTGATAGAGTTGTAGTATGATGCAGCTGAAAGCCACCAGACTGAGGAAACTGAAGCTGCATTTTTCTGCATGAAAAATAATACGGCTGCTGCTAAGATACAACCAAAGGATTTATTGTCTATGAAAAAAATGAAGAATAATAATTTGTTAACACTTAAGAATGTATCTTCTACATATGAACAAATCTGCTTCCCTGAATAAAATATCGTTATTATGGGCAGAGCCATAAAGAATCCAGAAGATCAAGAAGCAAGATTTAACATGCATCTGGCAAGTGCTTTTGCTGGCATTGGGTTTGGAAATGCTGGTGTACATCTTTGGTAAGTTAAGTACATCATTTTTATTTGCATTAATAAAACAAATACTTGGTTAAAAATTAAAAGGCTTCAAAAGAAACAACGTAGGTAAATTCACTTGAGTTTTGATTATATCACCATTATTAAATTTCCCTTTGCACAACTGAAATGAAACACTTTGGCTGAGAGGATCGGGAGGTAAGGTGCCCACCAATATTTTTTCTGTACCTTTCTCTGGACAATTACATTATTAGTAACTTGTATCTGTTCAAATTGTTTACATGATTTGTTTATTCCGTAATTTTGATACTAATTGAGGTTCTTTGTTCTTTCCAGCCATGGCATGTCTTATCCAATTTCCGGTTTAGTGAAGAATTATAAAGCAAAGGATTATAATGTGGATCATTCTTTAGTGGTAACAATTTAATATACTTGTTAGTCTTTTGTCTATAATGATATGTTTGTTACTATGATTTTTCAGTGAATTCTGTCAATGGCTATTGGTAACATAAATTGTCTAAATAAAATGTGCTGTACTGTGCTTTGCTTTGCTTCAGCCACATGGTCTTTCGGTCATCCTCACCTCTCCAGCAGTGTTTACCTTCACAGCACCAGCATGTCCAGAACGCCACTTGGAGGCTGCCCAAATCATGGGTATGAGTCTGTTGATAAAAATCATAAATTAAAAAAATCTGCCAGAGAAGATGGAGACAATGTTTGCCCTTCCTGACAATTTGACATTGGAAACTGCCTAGGAAATGAAAAGGCTGTTCTCATTTAACCCGTGGAGGATAATGGAACTGATATAAGGAAGATCATTGATATTGATCCTGGTAACAGAAGTTATCCTGGTCAACTTTAATGTTATGTAAAACATTCCATTTCTTTTGATTGAAATGCCTTAAGAATGTATGAAGAGGATGGCTGGGTCAGTCCAATGGCTCATTTCATCCAGCCTAGAAAACCAGGTATATTCCAGAAGTACACAAGTAAGACAGGAAGAGCCCACTTTGATTGTTCTCCTTAGTCTCCACTTTGATTGTTCTCCTTAGTGTTCCCCAAGCTTTTAAAATATGCTGCCTATAATGCTGCATGCTACATTGCAATTTTAGTAGGTCAACCTCCATAGGTATGTCTAATTCATTTTTAAAATTCAAATTTGTGTTGGCCACACATCTCCTGATAGCGTTGAACTTCATAATTTAATTATATGCTACTCTTTTCATGTGCATATCAGAAAGCTTAGTATGAGTAAAGTACAGAAGACACAGTTTTCCATCTTGCTTTATATGAACACTGAGATTGACTTAGCTTGCCTTGGTAAAGAAAAATAAAACATGAAAGAAGATAGGTCCAACAAGCAAGGGGAAAAGACATTAATTTGAGAATGTTGACAGGAGTTAGATTTAAATTAAATTAGTTAGAATTAAATTCTCTAAAGTGACAGAACAAAACCACAATGGAATGCTGAATGTGGCCCCTCTTCTAAACAACATTTCAGCAGCTGTCCCACCTCACCTATCTGGCTGCCATTATCTCTAGCTAGCATACCTGATTTAGAATGAAAATTCTAAATATCTGGGAAGCTTCAACTTGGGTTGGGCAGCTTTCAAATAATGGGTCTTACTAAATGCAAAAATGGCAAACAAACTATTTTTCACGGCAGCTAATTTGGTCTCTCATTTTGCTCCCCACTTTGGCTCAGACTATATTTTTAAACCACTTTAATAGAGAAATGATTTGATGAACTTTAAGTTGATGTTGTTCTTAGAGAAATGTTTTAGTGTATAAAGATATACGTTAATGAGGTATTCAATGTTATGATAAGTTACAACACTATTTCTTCACAGACTAGATGTTTCTTTTATATTTTAGGAGCTAACATCAGTAATGCCAAGATGAAGGATGCTGGGTTTATTTTGGCAGACACTCTCCGAAAATTTTTATTTGATCTCAATGTTGATGATGGCTTAGCTGCCCTTGGTTATTCAAAAGCTGATATTCCTGCATTAGTCAAAGGCACCCTGCCTCAGGTATGATATTTTGCAAGATCTGCTTCTCTGAAAATAACCACCAGGTCTTAATTGATCATATTTCCATGCTGGCGCTTAGAATATTTTTTGTTTCTTCTAGCAGCAATGTATAAAGAACAAGTTATTATAGGGCTTCACTTTTTTTTCCATAGAAATTTTGTCTCAAAAAGAGAGTGAAAAGAAAAAAAGTAAACATTTGCTTATCCAGGGACATTTAATGATAATCACACTTAGTCTCAAAAAATGGCTGTCCCATTGCAACATTTGATAACAAACAGCTGTGTATATGTATGCATGAGTTAAATGAAGTTATGAGAAAAAAGACATGAAGCTATTACTTATTCTTTCAGGGTCACAAATAGCCCTCTGTAGGCCATCTCTATTGATCACTAGCAGTGTATCTTGAGTGCTATAAGTCACCAATATTTGAAGGGCCTCAAATTCCCTAAACCTATTAATTGCAGTATGAGGGGTTTTTGTCCTTATTTTTGCTGTGTCCATTTCATCCAGTTCTGACAATCAGATTGGTCATTGAATTTTGCTAATATGAGGCAAAATTTTCCTTAGGACATCTGAGATATTTTTCTATGTCACATATATTTTATGTCATAACTTACTTTACAAACTTTCCAGAGTTTCAGAAAGTTCACAACACAGTCCGTATTTCCACTGAACATTCAGATTTGTTACGTAAACCTTTAGATCCAATGTAGGTGGCTGTTTGTTCACCACATGGCTAAAAAAGAACAGTAATACAACTGCTGAACTGTGGACATGCATTGGAATCTAATATTCAAAAAGAGCATTCTATATACCTATATATTTATATACTTAGCAACAGCAACAAACATTATAAGAAATTTAATTAAATATGTCCCAAATCATCATCTCTTTTCCAATGGTCTCTTTTTCACCATCTTTTGCATCGTCTGCCATGATGTCATAAGCCTGCTTTAAGCACAGAGTCCTGGCTTCCCTATTAATTCAAAACTTAATTAAAAATATCTTTATTCCAAAAGAAATAAGATTGCAGCCTTAGTTACTGAAATACTAACATCATATATCATAAAATTACTGAATGTATACTAGTAGGATTAGTGCACAAGGCAGATTGTGCCAGATCTATCTGTGATGTATATTCTACCTAGCTATTGATTTTGTCTAGAACTTTACAGAATGTACTCTTTTTCTTCTTATAGGAAAGAGTGACTAAATTATCCCCTCGCCCTCAAACAGAAGAAGAGCTGTCAGCCCTGTTTGAAGCATCCATGAAATTATATTAATTTGTTTCTGATTTTTTCTTTTTTTTAAACTTTAAGCAGTGTTTTCTCATTTCAGGAGATGAATCAATTCAAAATATTATATGGGGATTATATGTAAATGTTATTTCCCATTAAGAGCTGTAGCATTTATGTTTATTTTTACACAAGATTATAATTGGAGATATTCAGATTTCATTCACTAGTGATCACTGGAACTAATTACTGATAGTTTTATTTTATGAGAATACAGTAAAGAAGTTTCTGGTTTGCTATTTCACTACTTCTGTGCCAACTGGGTCAAGCAGGGATACATAATAAAACTTTTATATGTTCAAAACTTTCTGTTGTGTATTTTACTTTTATTATTATTGGTTGTTGCATATAGCAGTTTCTCTTCATAATTTCCATGTAAACAAGGATGCTTTGTAGTTTTTATAATTGAATGCTTGGCTCTGTAATATTGTACCCAATTGATTTTGTAGTAGAACTGTTTTGTGGCAGTATATTAAATGTGAGTCTGAAGGTCCTCTGATATTTATTGCTTGTAAAAGAGGATGGCAAAAGAGGAAATCATGGACAGTCTTTCTTTCCACTAAGGCTACTATATCTGATCTCCAAACATTAGATGACCAGAGGATTAGAGCAAAGAGATTGAGGATTGAAGAATCTCTTAATTCCTTGATGTCCTCTAGTGATTTTCTGGATTTTGTCTGGATCAATCCAGATCCAATCTATTTTTTTCAACCAAGATCCAATGCACTTTCTAACCCAGGGTAGTAAAATACTATGTAAGATGTGTGGTAATATGTCAATTTTTTTTCTCTCTCTCTCCCGATGTCCCTCTCCCTCTTTTGTCCCTTGGCTCCTGAAGACTACCTGGGTAAGTGTTTGCAGTTTCCTTAGCAAGATTTCAGAAGTGGACATTTAGGAATTGTGGATTTTTAACGAATAGGCTGACCAACCTTGCAAAACTGCAATAACCAAAGCTCTTTGGGAGAAAATATGCCTGTTATATTGTTTGATGGGATTTGGCATACATATTGTATTCTTCCCTTTTATGGAGATGACCTACTACAGATATACACATATGCACCCTATCTATAATCTGTAACAAGGTATAGAGTCTCTTCATGTACTATATTGCATACTATCAAATTAAAATTAACTGACTGTAATCTTTGCATAATTGATAATGGGTGCAAGTTGTATGAACTAGGTAGTGTTCCAAAAGCTGCAGTCCAATTCCAGCTCCTTGATAAGAGTATTTGTTGACATACTGCAGATATAGTTTTTATAAATAAAACATAATTAAAACATCCCTCTTAACAGACAGAATACACATAGAAATCTATGGCCCTCCAGATGCTGGATTTCATCTCTTATTAGGCCAGGGCAGGTCAAGGAGTACTTCACAAAATGTTAAGCATATCTGACCTTGAAAAGCCATCAGGAACATAAACAAAAATTGAACATCCTCATGATCAACAGCTATCATTCTTTTTTTGGTAATGTTATTGTTTTATTGTAAAAAGTAAAATATAAAACAAAACAAATGCATATGTTCAACCCTAACAATAATAAAAAAGTAAAAAAATAGTGTACAAGAAAGAGGAAAAAAATGATGTCATTCTTGTAGCCAAAGCTTTTATTCTTAAGCAGAGTATTTTGTTTCTCTTAAATTTGCGGGGAATTATAACATTTATTTAAAAAAAAACATTTATCATGATTTGCCAGTAGAAAAATCCTCTGGAGTATAATAGCTTAATTACAGTACAAAAACTAACTTTTGTTTCATGGTATATGGATATGTTATAAGAAGCATTTTCTTTACTGAATATTTGAGAATATCAGTTGGGGAAAACAAAGATGAAATGTGTTATAGCTTTCCATTCTTGTATATGCTCCAAAGTAGATCTTTTATTATTTTGATTTACTTTTCAGCACTTAAAATAACTGTCAGAGTCCTCTGCTCACTGATGACCAGAAAGTGGTCTTTTTTAGTTTTTGGTCATAAATTTCTTTTGATTGTTTGACACAAGAACAATGAAGGATTAACAATTCCATTTGTGGCCACAAAATTCCCCATCTGTTTAGGGAGTTTGTGTTCAACAAAAACTGGATGGAGACAAATGAACAAGCCAGCTGAGTCTGATGTTAATGACATCATTCATGAAAAAAAGAACATGTGGCATCATAAATCAAAAACTAATTGAACTTTCTGCTGATTGTATTGACTACTTGCTGAACATTTTAAATATTCCAAAAGGCTCTAGAACAATAACTTTCTTTTCATTTGAATTCTTTGTCATAGGGTTTGATGCCATAGGAGAGCTTCAGGTTGCTCAAAGGAAAGTCAAGTAGTGTAAGGCTCTATTTTGTTTTGTTTTAAGCCACAACTATTCAGATATTAAAAGCAAGAGTTCTAGTCTTTGACTTAGGCTAATTCACAGAGTGTTGGTCTCCTATTTCTAGGGCACTTAAGTTATAATTCTAACCACTTCAATGTGCATTCATAGAATATAAAAAGAAAAGCTCTCTAAAGCTTCTATATCTATCTATCTATCTATCTATCATCTATCTATCTATCTATCTATCTATCTATCTCATTCATCTTATCCATCTATCCATCACTGAAAACTAAAATACTCTTTCCAAGGTATTAGTAATTAAAGGGATCATAATACAAAAACTAAAATATTTTTATTAAAAATAAAAGCAATTATGTAAATGTAAAATAATATTAAAACATCCACAATAGCCATAAACAGCATTCATCAATTTGTATCAGGAACAGGAACTTTCTTAAGTAACAATAGCAAAAACTGGAAAAAAAATCAAAAGCCCTCTCAACAGCTCATTCTTTATCTTGGGGGGAGGGCAGTCTGCTGTCACAAAGGAAGCTATTCCACAATACTGGAGCCATTATTGAAGAAATATTATTTCTTGGCTTCAATCCCCTTGACAGCATGGAAGTACATGATAAATAAGAGCCTCTTTCTCAATTTCCGTATGAGAATGGATCAGTTCTGGTTGGAGACAAGAGTCTAGAAAATATCTTGAATTAAGCCATTTAGCGCTCCATAGGTCAAAACAAGCACAGAGTAGAGGTGTAATGACCAGGTCATGTTTTACTGTTAAGAGGTAGGACTACATCTGAACCAATTGTTGAATCTTCAGAGCACTTTCATATGGATGCTAAATAAGAGAACTGAACTCTATGATATCCCTTAACTGAGTGGCACCAGGTTGCCTTTACAACAACAGAATGAAATTGTTCAGTAGGAAAGGAATGGAATTACTGCAACACAGTGCCTCGGTCCCCAATTCCTGCATGTGATTAATAAGGATAACTAAATTGTTGGTATCACATGACATTAAAAGATCCAAAAGGATTAAGTGGGAAACACTACCTCCATTTAATATAAGTCTTGACAAAGATAATTCATGAGCATGACAATGCAGTTGGCCTTAATCCTTGACTAGAAAAATTTAAGTAATCCTTTATAATAAAGCTGTTTCTCCAAAAGGCAAATAAATGCTGGACATTTCCAATATACTCTGCACTTTTATATAATATTTTATAGTATCATTCTGCTGAACACATAATTCCCATTGCATTGTCTCATTTCTCTTTTTTCATCTTCTAATCTTTTCTACTTCTTATCCTTCCTATTGGGTGCATATGATTTATCTTGTTTATAATTTATAATTAATGATTGTAACTATGATTATGACCTATAACCTATTACTTGCTGTTTATACACTGTGAGCTTATACACCGGAGACAAATTCCTTGTGTGTTTGCTCACACTTGGGTCTATTCTATTCTGTTCTATTCTATTTTCTATTCTATTTTATTTTGATGAAAATGTAACACATGTATCAGAGAAGAAGCTATTGGAACTTGATTAGCATTTATTCCATCTGGTGATCTTAGCATGAGTGTAACCCCACAACAAATCAGAATCATCTATTAAAATGCCTAACTATAGATATGAGTGATTTAAGCAAAATGTTTCTATTTGAAAATATTGAATTTGATGCTAAACAATTAAGAAATATAGAGCGATTTGCTTAGTAGTTTGGAAAGTGTAACTTATTCAAATAATCGTGTTTTTTGGTCTCAACATGTATTAATTATATAAGTCTTTATTTCTCTTAATAACTTAATATTTCTGATTTCATTTTTCACTGATGTCATTTCTCTAAAATACAAATAATTACACAAATACAGCCCAGCATTCCTTTAGCTTCCACTTACTATGCCCTTGGACAGCTGTAAATTATATATAAATGATCAGGGCTAAACAAATAAAATATTACTAGAATGGCACTGTGGTTTTAATGAATAGTAGAGCCAAAGTCTAGTAGAAGAATTCAACCCACGTGGATAGGAATACAAAATAGAAAATGTTTCAAGGAAGACTGAACTCACAGACTTACCCTGTGTTTTGTATACTTGGACATTCTGATCAAAAGGTTTTGGTAATCTCATCATAGAGCCAGATGAGATTACAAAAATATATTGATCAGAATGTCTATGGAGGTTCTCAGTTATCCAGGTCATGGTTGTCTCAAAAGGCACTTTTTTCAAACAACAATTGGACTCTTTTTTGAAGACATTTCACTTCTCATCCAAAAAGTTTCTTCAATTTTAACTGGTGGGAGGATGGAAGGATTTATACTCTTTGCAGTCAATAAGTCATTATTAATCAGAAATTCAGAACCATTGCATGAAGGCAGCCAAGAGAGGGGAATGAAATTGCACAGATTTACAGCTGCAGTGATGGAAATTTAGAAGTCTTCAGTGTGGATTCTTCCAAATCGGAGTACCAGCCAGGAGAAGATAAGTTGGACAGAGCTTTTGAAGAGTCCAGGAGATAGCCAGTGTTGTGGCTGGGTTCTCTGGAATTGGAAGTTGAAGTCCACACATATTAAAGTTGCCAAGATTGAGAAAGATTGGACTAAGCTATTGCCTCTAAAGAAAGCTGACAATTAATGCTGTACCATAATTGGCTTGAAATTTCTCATAAGTTTTATTTCTGTGCAATGAGGCTTCTGTTTTACTGCTTAATTAAGTGTACTGCTAATTAGGGGATACTTCAGGCATTTCTTCACATGTCTCTTGAAGGTGTAACTGGTGAACTTATTACTATTGGACATGGAAAGTGCTATGGGAGCTTGTAATTAAATAGAGTGCTATGATCTCAAGCTTGGATTGAATATAGAATTCATGTTGTTCTATTTGTGCTGAAAGAAGGAAGAAAGACAAATGATTTTTTACAGTTCCTTCTTTCCTTTCCTTCTATTTCCTGTAAAATTTTCTGAAGAGCTGAGAAACCATTTGGATTAGTATAAAAGATGGGGTATAAAACTCCAGGAACCAAAAAAAAAATGGAACTTGAAATCTATCAACAGGTGAAACTTTTCTGTTGCTTGGGAGATTATGTGCCAAATTGATTTGCTTTTGAATGGCTTTGGAGATATTTGGGGGGCAGCCACCTGCTGGGCCTGGATGCAATTAAGGTGAAAATGTCACTGTTTTAGTCAAAATGAAGCATTTATTCGAGTTCTGGCAAGTGGAGACTCTCTAACATGCTGACACTAAGGTAGAGATACATGTCTCTTATTTCCAAGTCTCTATCTTCAAAATAGTCTCTTTGTTTTTGCCCCCTATTGTTCTGCAACCTGTCCACAATCCCTCTGCTGTACAGAAAAATATTGTACCAAGACTCTAATGGAATAGCTGGGCTATTATTATACTTGCATTAATTATGTGCCTCTTTTTAAAAAAGTGAAATCTACTTCATTTAAATAAAACTTGGAGGAAGCACTAGGATACCCTTAGTAAAACTCAGAGT